GTGTGTGACTGAGCGTGTGTGTGTGTGTGTGTGTGTGTGTGTGTGTGTGTGACTGAGCGTGTGTGTGTCACATGCAGATGAGGTAAATTCTCCTTTTAGCAGCAGAGGACTTGGTGATCTTTTCACCCCGTACGAACAGGTCAGATTACAACAGAGAGACTGACTGAGCGTGCGTGCGTGCGTGCGTGAGAGAGACTGTGTCCCACCTCCTGCAGCAGCTCGTTGTCCTCCATGTACTTCTTGGCGGCGGTGCTGGCTCCCTCCGCCTGCTTCTTGAAGGCCTCGTTGGAGGCCATGAGTGTGGCCTGCTGGGAGAGCAGAGTGGCGAGACGACGAAGCAACCTGAGAACAAATAACACACGAAGACGACGAGTCAGAGACACGAACCAGACGGGAAGCTACACAACTACATCATCTTTACATATACCTTCTGAACTCAAAGCATGTTTAGGGTCTTGTTCTCTCTGTGCTCTTGATTTTCAAAATAAAAGTCCTGCTCCTCTATAGAAACAGAACCATGATGACTAGAAGTAGAGAGAACGAGAACATGTCTTTAGTGCAGACTCCTCTGCCCCCCTCTCCTCTCCCCTGAATAAAATGTTTTTATGAAATATCACGATGTGAAGCTTGGTTTGATTTATTTTTTGACTGAAGCATTCGTCACACGATGTGTTCAAGGACCAATGGAAAGATGAAAATCTGCTGATTTTGACTGTTTAGTTTTTTTTATAGTATTCAAGTAAAGACAGAAAGTTGATGAGCTTTTCAATGATCAATGAAGTTTAGTGAGAAGTGTTCGTACAGCCCGACGTGTTCCTGAAGAACCCGCAGACTGAACACAGCGAAGGGGCGGAGCCACGTAGCTCAGCGCAGGAACCCAAGATAAACTGAAAAGACGAAACAATGCAGATGTGTAAACGGTCTGCAAGACGAAACGCAAACAACCGTTGAAATGTTTTGTGAATGGAGCTTGGATCGATCAATGCTAGGCTAGGCTAACATAACGCCATCTCGGCGTAAATAAGGTGAAGTTAGTAGACGGACTCCAGCTGATCAACATACTTTAGTCTCTGCACCTCTGAGGGAACAGAGACGACCAGCTGTGACTCAACGTCAGGAGGATCATCTCACCGCTGACCGGCATGTTTAACGCGTCACGTTTCATGTGAACACAAACCTGTTACTCACTTCCTGTCTGTGGCCCATTGGTTCCTACTGAAGACCTCAAACTTTAAAAACACAGATCTATAGTTTAACCAGTTAGATTTGATCAGACCAACAGGAAATAGAGATCTTATTTTTGTTGGAGAGTATTTTCAGCGGCGGATGAATCCGCGTGTTGCTGTAGAGAGTCAGAATAAACGACAGTGCGATGATGATGATGAAGAGGCTCTGAGGAAGAACAGATCTCAGAGAGAGAACTCTTCTGATCAGCTGGAGGTTGACGTCGTTATGAACAATGAACAGTTTCTTCCTCTCGGTTCCACATATGTCCGCCAGTTACGTCACAAGCCTGAAATAATGCGATCAGCTGACGGCACTTCAGTGTTTCCACTAACTTGTGCTGCGTCTATATATTTATATCTTCCTCTGAGCCAGTCTGTGAAAAGGGCTCGGTCTAAACGCTGGAGTCCTTCTGTTACAGCTGAGCACTGCTGCCCCCTGCAGGCCGAACACAACAACCACACCGACCTGATCACCCCACCACCACCACCACCATCACCACCACCTTCATCATCACCATCATCACCACCACCATCATCATCAACACCCCACCATCACCACCACCACCATCATCTTCATCACCACCCCATCATCTTCATCACCACCACCAACACCCCACCATCACCACCCCATCATCTTCATCACCACCACCCCACCATCACCACCCCCACCACCAACACCCCACCATCACCACCATCACCACGCCCATCTTCATCACCATCAACACCCTACCATCACCACCCCGATCATCATCATCAACACCCTACCATCACCACCCCGATCATCTTCATCATCACTACCATCATCTTCATCATCACCACCCCCATCATCTTCATCACCACCACCATCATCATCAACACCCTACCATCACCACCCCGATCATCTTCATCACCACCACCATCAACACCCCACCATCATCATCATCACTACCATCATCTTCATCATCACTACCATCATCTTCATCACCACCCCCATCATCTTCATCACCACCCCCATCATCTTCATCACCACCCCCATCATCTTCATCACCACCCCCACCACCTTCGTCACCACCCCCACCACCTTCGTCACCACCACCACCATCATCACCACCCCCATCTTCATCACCACCCCCATCTTCATCACCACCACCCCCATCATCTTCATCACCATCACCACCCCCATCATCTTCATCACCATCACCACCCCCATCACCTTCATCATCACCACCATCATCAACACCCCACCATCACCATCTTCATCACCACCATCAACACCCCACCATCTTCATCAACACCCCACCATCACCACCACCATCATCATCTTCATCACCACCATCTTCATCATCATCATCATCATCATCACCACCACCATCATCATCACCACCATCTTCATCATCATCATCACCACCACCACCACCATCTTCTTCATCACCACCACCATC